CCTCAAAGTATGTCTGTTAAACACCCAAGAAGGTTAGTTCCACAAGTCTAGTATTTTTAATTACTGCATGTCACATAGATAAATCTTGGGCAAAGACCAGTTGTTCTCAGATAAACCATATATATGAGGCGTTGGTATCTGGGCTTGTTAAATCAGCAAGAGAGGGGTGAGGATTAATTTTGCTGATGGGTGAGTTTTGTCTGGCTTTTGTTGAATATGCTACTGGGCAATTTTTAGGGTCTTTTTTATCATTTGAACCTTCTCCTTTATTATTTTCTGGCATTTGTAAGCTTTCCTCAATCTTAGGTGGGTTTTTAAAGCATTGCTGGATGGTTGTGCCAGCCAGCAGCTGGTGCCCTCAGAAACGCAGAATTCGTGAGTACCTCTCCCATCAGGAGAGAAGCAAAAATCTTTTTTTCTTTCTTTCATCTCCCATCAGGAGACTAAAAAGGGCAGCTGTGCCCCCAAGCCTCCCCACTCATGGGTCCTAGCAAATCTCTCTTTTGTCTCCCATCAGGAGAATAAAAAGACAGCTGTGCCCCCAAGCCACCCCACCATTGGAGCCTGGCAAATCTCTTCTAATTTCCTCCTTTTGTTTCCGGTCTAGAGTCTTCGCATGAGGATGTTAAAGACAGAAAGGCAACTGAAGCTTCCTGGTCAGGGCTACTCCCTGACATTAGCTGAAGGCCTCTTTGACCCCCTAACGGACTGCAACCAGCTGCACAGGTGTAGACAAAGGGGAAAAAGGAAAGGGGAAAATTATGCCTTTCTTGGATTTCTTTTTTACAAGCCAGATACGCAAGAAAGTTCCAGACCTCTGGATCAGATATGTCTGCTGATAGGATCCAGGGTGCGAATTGATACACCTCATTCCAAAATTTTAAGCTTTCTTTTTGGGAGATCTTAAGCCCTCTTGATTTAAGTAAGGCTCTAAGGGAACGAATTTGGAGTTTTTTCTGGCGTGATGTTGAATTTCCCATTATAAAAGAAGATGTTTTTACAGCAGTCTGACACTAGGGGGTTGGAGCACCCTGGCAAGTTACAAGCCTCTAGATTGCAGAAAAAAAGTGTTACTTTTAAATCTTTTGTTCTGGCCGCCAACCACCTTGAACTCCCAGGTGCTCAGCAGGGGCTAGTTAATTTAAATTCTCACTTAACTGGTTTCAGCTGTGGTTTGAATGCCTGGGGGCAGGGTAACAGAGCTGACTAGAGAAATCTGCCTGACTCCAAAGCTTACATGGAGATCCCTGGAACTTTGGGGATTTTTCTAGCAGTGATAGAAAAGTGGGGTGAAGTGATGGTTCCCAATGGGACGTGCCTGAAATTGAAATTTCAGGGGATCCCACTCGGTTCCCAGCACAGGCCTGCCCGCAAATTTGAGAGGCTGGCGGCCATCCTTGTGACTTTTAACTGGCCATTGCGTCACCAGGTTTTGATATTAGAAAGAAATAAAGATAGAGGTCTTTTGTCTACACCTGTACAGGCAGTCGGAGTCCGTTAGGGGGTCAGAGAGACCTTTAGCTAACATCAGGGGGTAGCCCTGACCAGAAAGACTCAGTCTGTCCCTAGCTCTGTCCCTAGCGGTCCCACGCAAAGACTTCAGACCGGAAACAAAAGGAGGAAATTTAGAAGAGATTTTTATTACCCTCCTGGTGGGGGAGGGATACTCACGAATCCTGCGTTTCCGTGGGCACCAGCTCCTAGCTGGCACGAGGTTCAGAGGCTCTCACGTTGGGCACCAGGTATGGGGAGCGCGCTGGGCTCTCGGGGCCCCTGTGTGCACCCAGAGAGGTCGCGGCGGGTCCCGCGGGCTTCTCCACCGCGCACACATCAGCGGGTCGCGCACTGCGTTGCTGTCCGCCGCTTGAGTGCTGAAAGTCTGCTGCTGCTGGGGGCTTTGCCTGACCGGGTCCCGCCCTAATTTCACCTGTGCACTTTCCTCAAGATGCGAAATCCACTGGCCACTGGATCACGCGGGAAAGTGTGGGGGCGGCTAAAGCTGGGTGTCCGTGAGTCGATGACAGAAGGATACTGCCCCCCGGGGAGACTGGATCACAGGCAGGAGACACAGGACTCAGTTTTCCGTGTTACAGCTCTTTATTCTCCAAGTCTCAGTGATCCCCACTCTAGTTCCTAGCTCCAGCTCCACTTCCAGCTCCAAATATTGAGGGAAAACCAGGGAACTTTATACAATGGAGGTAGTGGTAAAAGCTTTAGCTGATAGGCACTTTGTGAGATACCCTATTTACATATGGAAGTGAACTCCTGCCAGGTTGCGAGACTGCCAGAAAAAATCACACAGGAAAGCATGGCATTTCCAGAGCCAGAGGCCATGTTTACGGTAGGGCATCTGTGGCGGTCACTTCAAAAGATGAGTCAGGGAGATGCCAGAAAAGCACTCTGCTGACAAAAGGAGTCCCTGCATTTAAAACCGAGCCCGTGGGCTATCCGGACATGGAGGGACTTCTACTTTTACACAACAGGGGTCCCCAACAGGCATTCATTCATTCATACACATAAAATAAAAATTTTTTAAAAATATCAACTCTGAGATCAGACTAATTAGCTCTGGTGCTAGATGTGTTCAGGAGACTAGGGAGAAAGCCAAGTAAGAAACCTGGTTGGGGGACGGGGAGCAACAATGGGGGTTGCATGCTTTCTGAGATGAAGTTTAGGGGGAAAGGGAGGAGCAGCTATGTACCTGCTTAAGGATGGCACCTAGGGAACCTCCTAGAACAGGAATCTATAGTAGATATGGTGGCTGCTGCTCGACAGCCAGTGACAATATATATATGCCATGTGAGATGCTGTTCAGGGGCAGGAGATGCTTGGTGAGCAGGGAGGACCAGGTTTTTCACTTTCCACAGTCTATATATTGTAGGAGGGAGCAGGTTAACTAGTAAGGCCTAAGAATGCAGAAAGTGGAGAGTAAGGGCATGGTGCAGATCAAGCACTGCAGGGATAGCAGATCTAGCAGGACAGGGAAGAGAAAAGCTCCTCTGACCTTGGAGAAGAGTCAGGAAAGGCCTACAGTGTGAGGAACTGGCCACTGGAGCCTGAGGAAGAGCCTCTGAGACAGGGTCAGAGTGTGGCTCAGCTATAAGAACCCCAGGCAGGTGCAGCTGGGGCTCAGTGAGCAGTGGGGATGTTAGGGACACTGAGAACAAGCAAGGCCCTGCAGACAGTTGTGTGTACAGATAAGCAGGAAGCAGAGCTGTGGTTTACACTGTCAGGCTGTAACTCTGCTTACAGTAGAAAGAAGACTCTGGGCTACTGTGGTAGATACTGGAGGTGACCTGAGGAGGGATTAGTTTGGACACACCTCTGAGGGATGAGATCAAGACACCCAAACCCTGGATTTTGGCTGAGGGATGGGATAATCAGTTTGACATTTATTGAGTTGAGGAAAGCTGGGAGTAACATGTATAAGGCTGGCAGGGAATCAAAAGTTTGGGATGTCTGTTTGATAACCAAGTAGGCACATGAGCCTGGAGGCCAGAGAAGTGAAAACTAGAGATATTGACATGGGGGGAGAGGGAAAGGACTGGCGGCAGCTTCCAGACAGAAAGGTCAGCAGGAGCCACTGCCCTGGAACCTATTAGACACATCCACAGAAGCAACTCTGATGAAGTTAGCAGTGGCTCACTATTGCTTCAGCAGTGATGGGTTTAGGGGGCAACCATTCATATCCAACTTCTCTGAAAACCCCAAGCATCATCATCATATTTCCAAGAGAAGGAGGCAGAAGAATTTTAGATCCAGAGAAAGTAGACAGTATGTGGAGGTAAAATCACTTTAAAGTGTTACATTTAGTTTTTCACAGCCTCTCCCCTCTTCCTGAATAGCTCCTAAAGGCAAAGCAATAGTTTCATGACAATGAACAGCCATCTCTTAGGAAATGGAGAAGATTTCAAAGACCTGCCCTGAGCTTACCATTTCTGAAACTCAGTAAGCTGGACACCAAGAAAAGCAATACAGGCTTACCCTGTGAAAACTGTTTTTGCAAATCTATCTCCCACTTTCCCTCCCTCCTTCCTTTGAGACTGGGTATCAGTGTATCCCAGGCCAGCCTCAGACTCCTGGCAATCCTTCTGCTTCAGGCTCCCAACTGTTGGAATTACACACGTGTTATCACATCTGGCTCTGCAAATCTGCTTTCTAAGCAAGGATTTCTAGGCAAGGGAAAAATGAGAAAGAAGAGATTTAGTTTTCTAGCAAACTCATAACCATTGCCTTTAACTGTAGGTGGGTGTTAATTGTCCAGGCAGCTTTTTCCAAGCCTGAAGCCTTCCAACAATGCTACCCAGCTGAGATTCCACTATCACAGCTGCACCAAAACCCGTTACCTTAGCTCGTGCTGCTTCTCAGAAGGCTGCTAGCTACGCCTGGGACCAGGCTCAAGAGAGGCACAACAGTGACTAGCCTCATTCCTCCTGGGGACATGTTGCCTTCCTTACCTCACACCTAGCTACCTCTCAAACTCTCCCTGCAGGAGGGCCTTCTCATCCCTCTTGGGGGCCACAGAACTCCCCTCACCCTACCCAGTAGTATATGCATACAAAGGTCATGGTGAAACTGGATCCAGGAGCAGCTGTCCTTTCCAGCTTTAAATACAGTGACACTCAAAAACAAACCAGTCTCTCTACTGAGTTTGCAGAGAATATGAAGACTATTTTGGGCAATCAGCTAAGGAAGGAATTTCTTAGGGGAAGAGAAATTGTACAATGTAGGAGAAAATTCATACAATGGACTCAGAAGCTTGGTAACAATTAACAGGATATTATAATTTTTATATGTGACATCACGTAAAAAGACAAGATCAGTGGAAAATTAAGTTTATTTCTGAATATACCACATTAAAACAT